GTAAGACATGCAGGAAGTCGATGGATGCAGGTGGCTCAGGACCGTGATTTGTGGCATTCGTTGGGGGAGGCCTATGTTCAGCAGTGGACTTGTGAAGGGCTGTAATGATGATGATGATGATGTTACAGGTGGCACATGGACAAGAGTGGCAAAAGTGGTGACAGAGAAAAATGGTCACAATTGAAGGAGGTCTTCTATTGTCTAAACAGGCACACAGACAGGGATGTCAAAAATTAGTTTTTTAAGTAAATATGAAAGAATGTATCTACCAATACTTACCTGAATAAAGGCTTTTCTTAGTATTATTATTATTATTTATTTTTAATTTAAAACACAAATGGGTCAAAATCGCATTACCACCCTGGTTGTATGTGAATGGGCATTGTCATGCAATCACTTCTACCAATCATAACCAATTGTTGGTTATACTGATGACCTGACAGTATTGGTCTCAGGAAAAACAGCAAACATGGTGTGCAACCTGTTCCAAGCAGCTCTCCATATAGTGGGGAGTTGGTGCGGAATGGAATATGACTTCACTGTTAACCCAAATAAAACAGTTCTAGTAATGTTAACACAAACACAAATGCTGAATAACTATCATCTGTTAAGCCTTTTCAGCACAAAACACCAGCTATCCTTTGAGGTAAAATACTTAGATCTTACCTTGGAAAGAAAACTCAACTGGAATAAACACATATAAAACAAAATCAACAAGGCTAGTATAACTTTGTGGCAATGCAAAAACATATTTGTATAATGATGGGGCATGACACCATAAATTATACTGTGGCTGTACAAACTGTAATTCTGCCCAGGATCACATAATATGGTATGGTGGATAAAAAGAATGAATCCGACACTATAAAGAAGCTTCAGCGTTACCACATACTAGAATGTATGGATGCCACAGGCTGCATAAGGACTATGCCAAAAGCAGCCTTAGAGGCTATGCTGGAGTAAACTCTGCTTCATCTACACATACAATAAGAAGCGACTTTAGCTGCCTTAAGACAAGACTGAAGACCCTAAATCTTTGGAGTAAGAGTGAGTCCCTCATACAGGTATAATCGATAGAATTTACCCCAAAATTCCTATCTCACAAACCAAGTATGATAAGATCCCCATAAAATTTGATAAGAAATATAAGATACAATTAAATTAATATAACCAGCTGGAGGGACCAAACTCAAAAGAGCTTAGAATTTTCACAGATATGTAGGTGCAGTGCTACAACAAATGTAGGTGCAGGATCTGGAACTTTCTCGGAAGACCTCAATATCCACATAATATGTACACCGCTGGGTACCCACAATACAGTCTTTCATGCAGAATTTATGGGTGTCATCCAAGTGGCCATAGCAATAGATGCCAGGAAGCTAATAGACTTCTCCATCAGAATACTGACCGACAGTATGGCGGTACTACAAGCGCTGAGTTGCAATGTGGTAAACTCGGGACTAATATATGAATGCCATCAATGACTAAATGAGGTAAGTATATAAAGACAACAATGTGACTGCAATGGATCAAGGAACACAGTGCATCAAAGGGCAACGACGCAGCAGACTGGCCAGAAGAGGATCGGCTCTGGCCATTATAGAGCTGGAGGTTGAAATTTAGAATCGTTTGGCAGGAGGGGGGCAAGGGAGGGGGTAGGAGAAAGGAGGGAGCTTCCCCTTACTCCCGACACCACTCCCATTAAAAGGTAATACACCGTTCTTGAGAAAAATGGAAAAGAAAATCCCATAGACCTAACCTCAAAATAACATTTATCATCTCCAGCAGGAGGGAGGAAGAAGGTAGTAGGAGTGTGCCCTATCAGGGAAAGCCCCTCTACCTTTCCCTCGTTGTGGAAAAGTATAGTTTATGAGTAATGTATTTTTTTGTAAAATCATAACCTCACTTTTTTACACAGGAATATTGACCTAAAGTTACTTCTACAACGGCTTCGGTGCTGCGGGAAGTGCAGCCCCTTCGCCCTAGCATAGCGAATCACAGGCACCCGTGCGAGCCGTAGTGGCTGAGGCTGGTCGCCCAAGGCGACCAGTAAGCCGAAGCTGCGGAGGTGAGCAGTAAACCAAAGCTGAGGAGGTGTTCACCTCCGCAGCTTCGGCTTACTGGTCGCCTTCGGCGACCAGCCTCAGCCGCTACGGCTCGCACGGCCTGCAATTTGCTACGGCGGGTGGCGGCTGCTCTCCCTCCGCGCCTACGGCTTTACAAAAACACTCTAGGAGTAGGGCAGACAAGACTACGTGGAGTCGGGGCGTGGTGGTTTAATTTTAGTATAAATTCGATCAGATCAGATATCTTATCTATAGTCAGGTTGCCTTCACTCCTGCCACAACCTTCTAACCTTTTACAACTGAAAGTATTTCTGGGTGTTCGAGTATTTCTGGGCATTTTTAAACAATTCAGAAATAAACACAGTATATTATAATCATTTCTTCGTTTTCTGTAAACATAATTTATTATTTTTATTAATTCCTCAAAAGGATCTCTTTTATTCTTTATAATTTCTCTTCTCCATAAATATTCATATATTAAGTTGGTAAAATTTTCTCTATTATTATAATTATCTTTAGCGAAATACCTTTTGACCATACGCCACTGAGACTCAATTCTTTGAGTGTGGGTGCCGTCTGCTGCCACAAAAGGGTTTTCAGGGTCACTATGATTTACCTTTTTGTGTATGTATCCATAATTTTCTAACCCATCATAAGCCCGCCAAAAATCAGTATGGATGATGGTGCCTTCAGCCACATGTTTTTGAATCAAGGGCATTAAAACTTCAGAAGATCGCACATTTTGGGGCCAAATTTCTAATCTTAAATCTTCACTAACATTTTCAATCATGCCCAGCACCCAATGACCTTTAATGTGCCGGCCTAAAATAAGAGTAAGTATTACTTTAAAATTTTATTGATAAAAATTAGCCTATATCATCTCCAGGTCATTAACTATATGCATGCATTTAGCCATAACTCACCTTTATTATATTTCCTTTTTCCAAATTTACTTTCATCTATTTGGACAATCTATCTGGACCGCAAATTTTTCCCAGGAAACTTTGTTTCTCTATTTCATAAATGACAACAGCCTCCCGAAAGTAGTTAAACCAATCATTAATAGTTGCTCTAGATTAACAATGTTCCCTTTCCGAATAATCTTCTTTTAGAGTCATATCATAACTCTACTTATTTGCATATGCATACATTAGGTAAAACACTTGAGTCATTGTTAATTTGACATTCTCAAACCAAGTGCCTTTGCCACGGCTAACTTTTGATTTTGATCTGCATGGGCCTCAGTTGCAGACAAATGATCCCACCATTCTATTAGTGGAGTATTCTACACACATACTTTTTTATGGTAGCTACAAATTTTCGTTGCTGGGATCATACCTTTTTCCTCAGCAAAAGCAATAGCTTGTTCCCGTGTGCCAAGTTTTCAGTACACAGTGACCAAATTCCACATTGTTTTCACCTCCTCGACATATAAATGGCGTTTCACTGGAGGTTTGCCACTGTCAAAATCACGACTCGTAGATGGCTGAGGTTCTGAGTCCGAATCAGACATTTTCAATATTACACACGTGGCGTCCGGCATAGAAAAGAAGGTAAGTCGTGTAAGCAAGTAATCAAAATCAAAATGCGCGCACAGGTCAATCTAGTAGGCAGAAAATCGTAGTCCGGGGTAGAAAAGTAGATAAGTCGTCGTGTAGGCAAGCAATTGCTTTCCAAAAAAGAGAAAACAGTTGTCGATGAAAGCTACAATAATACACTGGAGAGCACACATTCATGCAAGAAGAGCAACGAACGGCGGAATGTATAATAATTAGATGTCATGCGATTTGACATTTGACAGAAATTATAGACAGTAGAATAATGTGACATTAGTCTTACGTACTTGTCGCACTTATACAAAATTCTATATGCTATCCAGCTTTCACAGTAATATTGTATACATTTTTCCATGTTTTATGCAATTTAGGTTATAAAAGTTTTTTTTATTTTTTTGATAATGGTGCATTACCTTTTAATGTGAGTGGTGTTATTATAATCGGGGAGCAAATGTCTACCAAATAAAACACCTTACTCCCCCAAATTCGTGCCAAACAATTCTAAATCCAACCTGGGCTGGAACAGACCATACCGATCCCTTTTGGTATTGTTTGTTCACTGGTACGTAAAAACTTTAGTAATCAACACGCTCAGCTTTGGAAAAATCTAGTGGACTGTAGGCAAGCTAGGGTGGCCCTACCAGAAATAAACAGTCATTTAACCAAGGTCTTAATGAGATTGAACAAGCCACAGATCATGATAGCAACATGTGCTATTACAGGACATGGCTCTTTTAACAAACATTTATTTACTATTGGTGTAGATAGTCCCCTGAGCAGGGCATGTATTGGGGTGGAGGAAATGGCGGTTCGAGGATGTACAGAGGTCACTGCATACAGGACTAAACATCTTGGGCATACCCATTGACCACTTGATCACTGCCCAAAGTTGCTCACAACATCAAAGGACTGTTGAACTTATTCAAGGAGATTTTATCACTGGAGTAATCATAATCCTGCCCACATGCAAAATACACGCTTAAACATGGAGTTGCAGAAAATAACCCCTCATAAACTAAACTATTGTCACTTCTGAGGACTAAGATGGAATGTCTTACAGCCTTTATTTATACACACTCTAAGTCCTTCAGACTGGAACACAGCACTGCATTGCAAAAATAGATATAATATACAAGAATTGCTCACTAAAATTGTAGGATTAATATATGGTAAGAAAGTGTATATCCTTTCCAGCCTTTAAAATTATTACTTTTTGTTTAATATGTATTTAATATAAACTTTGTTACTACTTTTCAATAAGAGATTTAATATTACCTGTATTAAAATTTTTGACTACCATATTATTGTCGAGCTATGTAGCTCTCTGGGATCTGAGAGATGTATATAATTTTATCATAAAACCATCTCCTATTCCTACCTCATATGTAACAGTAGCTAGTGACCCCTCTCTTTTATGTTTTTTCTGAGTACTATCCTTTAATTGTTGTAGAATTTGCATAACTTCATAATTGCAAAGAAAAGCCGCGTGTGCATTTATTCTAAAAGAACAGATGACATTTATTGGATTTTTACAAAATTAAGCTATTTTATTAAATTAAGTATTTAGGGAATTACTTGAAGAAATACACTTACGTTTCCATTATACGCGTTTTGTTAATGGACTAAAGTCGGAAGTAACTTGTCCATAAAATTAGTAAAAAATGGAAAATAACATTAACATAAAACCACTCAAGATATACTTTTAACCACTCAAACCAGTTACATTAATATTTATTATTTTAATTCATAGAGACAACAGAAAATTTGGTTTAGTATACATGACACAAATTACCAAATATGAAAATCTTTATGAAGAAAATACTGAAAATTAAGAAATAAAGAGTTTTTATCAATACGAAATAGGCGAGTATTCCATGGACTAGTTTATGGCTTTGATTCTGTACAAATACAAAGCTTCAAACAAAAGGTACAAAAAATTAAAAATTAAAATCGCTAGTACGAAAATACCTCCTAACCTAAGAACACAAATCACCACAGAACACTAATACCCTTAGGCAAATCACAAACTATCAAATTAGGGATGTGAAAAAATAATCGATTTTCATATTAATCGATTATTTTTTTGTTATAATCGATTTTTCAAAGTCGATTTTTTTTATAATAAAAATCGATTTTTAATAAATCGATTTTTATGTAAATTACGCGTTTCAATCGATTTTTGTAATCAGAGTCATCTGTGCGATGGATGTAAAAACGTGAAGTAAGTTCAATAACATGAATAAGTCAATCAAAAGACTGTGCCACCTTTATGTATCTCTGTGTATGCAAAACAGTTTCGCTTTTCGTATGTTTTCAACAGGTTTCTTCCTCCGCTAGGAGTAAAAGTATTCTGTGGTTTTCTTTCTTTCTTTGGTTAGTGCAAACAATTATATATAAACAATAAAAATGTCTTGTGAAACGCGTAAAAGTGACTGACAGAAGTATTTTATAATGAAAAAATGATAGCGGCCACACGTCAATAGACAAAAATACTGAATCGGATCTACCACTAGGCACCACTATCAACTCTCAAGGCAGATGCCCGCAATATATGGAGAAGCTCTGAAGGAACTTTCCCTAAACTTATAAACACCTCTCAATGATGGCCAGCCGAAAGATTATTTTTGAAAGCGAGAAATATTGTTAGGAAAAAACGAACCCGTATTTTGGGAAAGAGACGAAGAAGAATTTTGGTGAAATGATTGTTTTTAAAGTCTTTAACTGAAAATTCATGGCAATATTTTTTTTTACTTTTTTTGTTTACACTAGTTTAAAAAAAGATTTGTCTTTTATTTTAGTTTTGAGATCAAAAGGTTGTCGTCCGATTATTTATAATTATATTTTTATTTTATTTTCATTCTAATCCAATGTAAATGATACTGAACATTAGTGGCATAATGATATTTAGACTTTTTGTTTGTTCAAACTTAGTTTCAAAAAACTATCGTTTATTAAAATTATGGTTTCTTAATGATTTCTTATATTTACGCGAAGACTACACATTAAATGAAATTATTTTTTACGGATTTGATCACTCTTAATTTAACTTTTTAATTCCTGACGTTTCGGGTGCTTCACAGCACCCATGGTCGCGGGGGGAACTGAGGCCTTTGACGTCCAGATGTCATAGTTAACCTGGCTAAATTCAGTTTTTGAATATTAATTTTTGGTCCAATCTATGCAGAATGAGCTTACAGTATCTTGAAGTCTTACAGTGGTATGCTTGGGTTTGGATTTAATTTTATTAATTATAGGATGCCAAGCAAATGGCAGCACCCATCCATCTTCTCTATTGAAATTAGGATTTTTTTAATTAAGATAGCCTCGCGAATCATCCTTGGTAGGAATCGGTGTTCTTTTGCGAGGATTTGTGGTTCAACTATAACATAGGGACGTCAAACACCTCAGTCCCCTCTGTGACCATGCGTGCTGTAAAGCACCTGAAATGTTGGGAATTAAAAAGTTAAATTAATCGCGATAAAATCCGTAAAACTTAGTTTAATTTATCGTTTCTGTTTATTTTGGTTGTAATAAATTGTTAAATGGCACTGAACATTTGTGGCAGTAATTATTTTTAGTTTTTTATTGTTCAAAGTTATATATTAAAAAATTGTTCTGTAGTTTATTTCTAAAATCAGAAGATTATTTTTCGAATAAAATTTTTTTTTCGCCAAAATCGATTATTTTTTTATAAAAAAATCGATTTTTCTTAAATCGATTATTATCACAAAGCAAAAAATCGATTTTTTATTAATCGATTTTTTTCACTCAATGTCACATCCGTATATCAAATCAGTATATATAAAAGCACAGATTACTGTATACTCTGTGCTATCAAACTAATATTTGTTGTTGTTTTTATTATTCGCTCGAGAGAGCAGGCAAAGGAACTAAGCCATACAGCCTTGTCTCTTTTATTTTGAATATATAGAATTTAAGAGTGTAAAGGCCGGAACGAAGTCTTATATTTCTTCTTTCTATCTCTTCAAAATCCATAAAGGCCGTCAAGTGATTATATTCTCTTTGAAGGCCGTAGTCAAGTCTTATTTTCTTTAATTCTTTATATTTTCAAAAACCCGTAAAGGCTAAAGCCAAGTCTTCTTTATATTATACTCTTTGTAAGTTTCAATCCATGTAGATTTGTCAATCCAATATTTTCAAAAACAGGGATACCATATTTCATATTTCTTTTACAGTATTATGAATAAAATTGCAAAGTGCTAAATATGTCTTAGTATTCCTAAGAACATCTTGCAGGGCACGCGGGACGCTTTCTGAGTTTTCATAAACTTTTATAAGTTTTTCAATGAGTAGCAATCTCTCTATGGCGTACGCTGGGCAGTTAAATATTATATGTTCTGCAGTCTGATCTGCTTCGGTATCGCAGAAATTGCATATTGCAGATGCTGCTATTCTCATCCTGGAAAGATGAGCGTTTAGTCGATAGTGGCCAAATCTAAGTCTGCACATTATTGTATAAAATTTTGTGCTATGATATCTTCGCATATCGTTGTGAGAAAACCAAGGAATACTTAATTCTGAATTAATTGATGCATACCAACGACCTTTTCCTGCCTCTAAAACAGCATTCCATTGCATTTTCCATTCATCTTTTAACTCTTGCTTTAAAATTAAATATAAATCTGTATGTGGTATTGCAATATCGGTTATCCTCTTAATATCAGCTGTAACTATACTTTTAGCTAAATGGTCTGCTCTTTCATTTCCTTGAACACCAATATGTGACGGAGTCCATAAAAATTTTACTTCCAAATTATTTTCTTTCAATTTCCACCACAAACTTTTGATTTCATATATGATGAAAGACGTTTTAGCATCTAAAGCTCTTGCCTTCAGTGCCTTCAAGATACTCATGCTATCAGAGATCAGTAACCATTTATTAGATATATGTGGGTGTTCTTCTATATATTTAAAGGCGATTAAAACAGCATAACATTCTGCAGTGTATATGCTTGCTAATGCAGGAATGGAAAGGCCACGTCCAGTTTTCAGATGAGGTATGTAAAATGCACAGGCTACTTTATTTTCAACTTTTGAACCATCTGTGTAAATTTTTCGATATTCATCATATTATGTAGATATAAGTTCATAAACCTTTTCTTTTCTTTTCAATTTTTCATCAATATTTATGTGTATATCACTGAATTTTCTTTCATAATTCCCCTTATAACAAGGCCAAGTATGTATGCTTTTCTGAATATTATATTGTTCATCATATCGTATCACTACATGAAAGTCATGGAGTATATATGGGGCTGAGTTAGATATAGTAAAATAATACTTTTTGAAAAAGAGGATGATGAGACAAAGAATTAATATTTAATATAAACCCAAATTTGAGATATTTAAACCTAAGTAAGATAGGAGGAGTAAGACATTCAGCCTGTAAAGAAACAATAGTTGTTCTCATAGAGCCGGTAATAAGTCTTAAATTCTTATTTTGTATAATATCTAATTTGTTTACTAGTTTTTTATTTGATGCAAAACGAAGAAAGCCGTACTCAGAATGGCTCCTTACCAAAGACTTATATAACATTAATAATATTTCTGGATCAGCTCCCCAGTTAGTACTAACCAAAGCTTTTAATACATTAAAGGCCTTAGAAGCTCTGTCTGAAATAGAATTCACGTATTTGGTCCAAGATAAATTATTTGTAAAAATCACACCTAAGAATTTTGCACAACTTTCTATGGGTAAAAATGTATTATTATAAATTATTCTGGTGTTAAATGGACGAATATTATTATATATTACAACTTTACTTTTCTCAGTACTAATATCTAAATTTAAGTGTGAAAAGTAAATGTGCAATTTCTTTAAAGCCTCATATAAAATGGTTACCAAGTTTTTGACATTTGTTCCTGAGGCATATATGACCAAATCATCTGCATATTGTAAATTAGTATCATTTGATCCTAAAATATTGTTTAATTTAAATATGTATAAAATAAAGATAAGAGTAGTTAATATTCCTCCTTGACAAACACCTTTATAACTGAGCCCAGGACCAATAATTTTATTATTATTATTAACTTGAAATATCCATTTTACAATTTTTTCAAGAATGGCCAAAGACCTCAACTCTGCGGCGAGTACATGAAGATTAACGTTATTAAGTGCACCAACAATGTCAAAGAATATACTAATTAATACTTCTTTATTTTCCATAGCTTTAAAGATATCTAAGTGCAGAAATGCAATACTTTCTCTAGATGACTTACGGCGTCTGAATCCGTACTGATTTGATGGTAAAAGACATTTTTTTTATAGATAAAATGGTACGACTTTCCATTTACTCCCATCGAGTTTGGTGTTGATACGTATTTGTACAGAAAGGTTTTATTTTTATAAGCACACACACAAAGTTTCAATATGCGGAAACAGGTATTTTTGAGAAATAAATTAATAAAAATCACTTATTTTAACAATATTTTGTTGTTTTTTTTAACTGGCTTTACGGCTCTGGGTTCTAGCCCTTTTGAGCCTACTTTATTACGAATTTCCATAGACATTCGTCGAATTGAGGGGAGAGGGGGGGGGGAAGAGGTGTAGGGGGACTAATTCAGAGGGATTTCTGTATATATTTTGAGACTGCAACGTCTCCGGCGCTGCGGGAAGAGCAGCCTCTACGCCTTTGCGTAACAAATCGCAGGCATCCCTCCTCGCCTCCGCAGCTTCGGCTTGTGGTTCGTCCGATGCCTACGATTTGTTACAGCAGGCGGAGGCTACTCCCCCTACGCGCCTCCAGTTCTATATAACCACTCTAGGGGTAGGACAGACTCGTACCACGTGGAGTCGGGGGTCAATAAATTTGGTTCTTTGACATAAGTAGAACCTAACCTATTTTATTTATTATCTGCCCTAATAGGTACTGTTAAAATAAACATCCTAGAAAATCGCCATTAAAACTGATTTTACTGATAAGAGATCATTTATTGTATTATCTTTCTTTTTTCCATAAGAAATCATTTATGGTATCTTA